CCCTGAAACTGGTGCCTCCTCCATCCCCCAAACAGCCCTGCACAGAGAAGTGAAGTGCAGCTGCATTAACTATGGCTCGATGGGACATAAGGTCACATCTCTGGCACAGTGCCAACCAGAGCCTGACCCACAAAACCTCACAGAATCACTGAATCTTAGTGGTTGGAAAAGACCTTTAAGACCTTCGACTCCAACCATAAACCCCACACTGACAATTCCACCTCTAACCCATGTCCCTCAGCACCTCGTCTGCCCGTCTGTTAAATCCCACCAGGGAAGGTGACTCCAGCACCGCCCTGGGCAGCCTGTAACCTCACAAAAATTAGCATGGAAGAGTGACCATCCATCTCCTTCCTGCCTTCCAGACACACACAGGGCACTGAGCAGCAGCAGCTGCACAGGGCAGCACTGAGCTCAGTCCTATCAATTCTCACTTCTGAGTCTTTCTCCCACCTCCCACCTCCGGACACAACGCCCAGTGGGTTTGCAGGGTGGATTCTGATACGGAGGCTTCAAGTTGTGGAATACCCAGGGCACACCAGTGCCTTACACCAGGCTGCTGAGCTGGCAGCACACCCATACCAACCTCTTTCCTTTCTGCCTCCGTCATCCCAAACTGATAATGGCCCAAAAGGAAGGGCCAGACAGCCTTCCTGATCTCGTGCTGGATCCCACCATAGTAGATCAGCCGCAGCAGCTCCTGGTCTTCATAACTCTGTGGGAAGAGCTCCAAGTCAGTGCACGGACGCAGCCAGGACCACAGCCCATCAGTTGGTAGGTGCCAGGGTAACCCCAGCCCAGCCATGCCACCTTTCAGAGCCCAGAGTGCTGCCCAGACACTGGCCACCCGCACTCACTGCCCATTCATTGCAGATGATCTCTCAGATCTCTGCTTGGGCTTAAGTAGAGTCAGAGGATCTACCCTGTGGATCGACATTTTGGGAAACACTGGCTCACCACAGCCAGAGAGTGGCCCACCAAAGTCACTCAAGGTCACTGCTGTGCCTCTGAGCACCAGCAGCATGTCAGGACTGTGAGACTGTCACAGTTCTCCACACATCCTGCTGTAACAGCACACGGGGACCCCCTCGAGACCACACTACTCAGGGTGACAGACAGAGCTGCAGGCAGGCCCTGAAGAGAAGCACGTCAAGGACAGCAGCCTTTGTTCCCTGGCTTCCCCGTGTTGAGGATGAGGAGCCTCGTGCTCTGTGCAGTGTGGGGCAAGCTGTCTGACTTCTCAGAGACCTTCTCAGTGGGCTTTACCCTACCGTGTTAGAGCTGCCCTGGACATCCCAAGCCCACCACAACAGGCATGTCCCAAGAGTGCTGTCCCTACCGTGCTGTCCTGCAGGTATCTCTGCCATATGTCCACAGTCAGTCCCGAGCTGGCGTTGCAGGGGACGTCAGGAGACACGATGTTGTGGTTCACCAGCGCAGACAGGTGGGTTCGCACCGTGGAGAGGTGGCGGCAATAGGCCAGCCCTGCATGGGCAGAAGCAAACATTGAGCTGGGGAACTTGGGGAGCCACGAGGACAAAGTGCAGGAGAGAGCTCTGATGAATCTGGGCTCTGAAGGTGACCCTCTGGGCCACATCCAGACTAAGCAGCAAAGCAGAGACTTTGCTGGGACAGGTCAGCATCCCATTCTCTTGTACCACCAGCACTGCTGTTTGCTGGGCTGAAGTCTGAGGATCAGAGTTCAGATGTTTGCTCCCAACCCTGAGCATGTGTACACAGGGCCCTGCATGCAACAAACTGGTCCCAGTACCCTTGGCCACTGGCCTGCTGCTTCAGCACCACTGCTAGCCCAGAGCCCAGGACCCTACCCCTTGCCCATCACACATCTCAAGGCACCATGGATATGACAAATACTCACAGCCATAGAAAGCCCGGGAGAGGATCTGGTACTTCATATTGTCACAGAGGAGCTTCAGCGGAGCTCTGCCAACAAAAACACACTGGGTGTGAGGAGAAGAAACACTCCCATACATTCCCTCAGCCCCTGTCTGATCCAACAGTTCTAGCTTTGTCCTCAGAGGTGCACCACCAGACCTCTGCTCAGCTTGAGAGGACACGGCCACAGAGCAGCTGAGATGTCCCAGATGAAGGGACAAGCCTCACTTCAGCCTGGACATGTCCCACTGGCCCCTGCAAATGGTTCCTGGACAATGAAGTGGGCTGTGAGGATGGAGACACCACTTGCATCGTCATTGCTCTAGATCAGCCATCCAGCTGGGCTTTCCTCTGTAACCCTTGTTTTATTTTACCTGTACTTCTCAGAGCAAGCAGCAGCAG